AAAGTAAAGCGTTGGATGACAATTTTCTCGAAGAATTTGAGAAAAAAAAAACTAAAAGATATGAGTAAGACAGGACACGAGAGATATTCAATTTGCAATAACGTTCTCATGTACAGCGAAAGAGTGGTGGTACCTTCATCACTACAGAAACTTATCCTGAAAGAATTCCACACAGGACACCCTGGTATATCCAGAATGAAAAGCTTCATGAGAAGTTATATGTACTGGCGTAGCATGGATAGAGACATCGAATGTTTGATTAAGTTATGCAAAGGCTGTGATTTGGCAGCTAAAGCACCACCAATAAAGTTCAATCCATAGCCAGAAACTGACCGCCCATGGTCACGTCTGCATATTGACTTTGCTGGTCGGTTAATAGGTCATATTATTTGATCGTCGTAGACAGTTTTTCCAAGTGCCCAGAGATGTTGAGATGTACAAAATCAACCACACAAGTAGTAATTGGGTTTCTACACGAACTCTTCGCGAGGTTCGGGGTAGCAGATTCCATTGTTTCGGATAACGGCAACCAATTTACATCGAGGAATTTTGTAAAATGTTTGTGGTAGAGCATATAACAATTGCTCCCTGCCACTCTAGAATTAAGGGCCAGGCAGAGCGTTTTGTGGATACCTTTAAGAGGGCTGTAAAAAATCCAACGGTGGATCCACAGATGCAGCACTGCAACAATTTCTACAGGTGCATCGGTTTACACCAAAGAAAAATGCGCCTTCAGCCGTGACACCAACAGAAATTATGTTTGCGCGGAAAAATAAGATCGGTTTTTGACAAGCTGATACCCCCACCCAAAATAAGTTCAAAGGCCAAAGCTATCAGCGAAAATCAGAATTCCACCAAAAGAATCGTGGCCACAAATTACTAAAATTTGAAAGATATCAGAACAAAATATGGTGGCCGAAAACGGCTAAAGTTTAACAAACCAGAACCAAGAAGCTGACGACAACTTAAATGAAGACGGAAATGTTGCGCTCGCAGAGATACCATTTTCCTGGACGTCTCCGCTGAAATGAAAAATCAACATTACGTAATTCCTGGAGAAAGCCAAGAGCTACACAAACTTCAAAATTGTTTGCGCAAAATTTGTCGCTCCACAAAAGGCACCGTCATTAAATCGTTGACATCCCTGGGGGTTATACCACAGAGTCAACAAAGGAAAAGTGTTTTTCATGTGGGACATAGTGTTACACACGCCTGCCGACTGTGAAACTACCAGCAATCGAGACCTCATTTTGAGGACTGAATATCAGGGCAATCAAGGACTAAATTTCAGTATATGAGGTCCCTCCTCGGATTCTCGGGGAACACTTGCTCGCTTATCTGTGCCAATTTGATAAGGTACTCAGTGCTTCCTCTGACGATCTGACCGGGGGATGGAGATTCGAGATAATGATAAATCATAAGGTCTACACCTCCTTCTCAATCCTCAACTGACTAGATGTAGACAGCCATAAAATGACTATTATCGTCACAGGCTGAAGACCAAATTGCTGGAAGTGCGGAGAGACTGGTCACATTTCTTTTTCCTGCCCATACCAAATTTTTCAACCCAAATCCCAAATTTGAACCATCTTTCGAGAAGTCTGAGAAACTTCAGAAATTAAAAGAAACACTCAAAGAGAAGAATATTCCAAGAAAATCTTGCTCCCTCTCCTTTGAACCGTCTTCCCCTTTCACAAAACAACACCACATGACTACTCCTCCAGTCCTGAGATCTCACACTCCCTCTAAAATAACCATCTTAAAAATGGTCCCCAATAAAGATTAATCATCTAAGGACCATACCACCTCTTTCATCATTACCCCTAGGCCATCCGCTATCAGAACTCCCATCGGTTCTGAAAATTCAAAAAGGCAAAGAAGTCCGTCACCCGAATTAACTGGAACAACACATAAAAAAGCCTAAACCCATTTACAACATAGACTTGTGCCGGGTCTCTAAAGAAATAGACGACAAGGCACTATAACACTCGAGGAAAATGAAAATTTTTTTAAAAATCTTTTAAATTTCAGCAAGTTAAAATCTCTTGATGTGGAAACCCAAGAGATCTGTTGCCTCCACCCATCTGAAGGTGGTCTGGGTATGCCTCGCACTGAGATTCGTCAATATATGCTTCGCAGTGAATCCATGTAATGTAAAAAGCTTTCTTTTTTTTTCATTAAACAAGCAAAGTAGAGATCATCCTTTAAATGGATGAAATACAAATACAACACAAAATACACAGAATTCGAAACGGATTTACCGCCAATATCTGTTTAGGCCGCATTTTTATTTAAGAAAATTCTCTTACGGAATACCGGAAGTTGAGTGAGAAAGTTATGCTTTAAATATTGTTGTCAGGTTATAACTTTCAGTGACAACAACAACTTCTACTATGTTCCGTACCCTCCTTGTCGCTCTTATCAACGTTTGTCCCTTTGCCAAATGCCCCACGCTCCCTTTCAACTCTCCATTCATACAAAGTCGTCAGGTAGATGACTCGCAGCATTCGCCTGTCCTTTTAACATTCGATATGTCCTATGAATATCAAATTCTCCAAGTCCTCCTTCCTTATTTATCTGCCCTATACATTTCAGCTTTGTCTTTCTGATTCTGAATATATTATGATGTTTTGGTTTCCATTGTCGTTAAGACTTCTTCGTTACCTACACGCTCCTTCCATAATATTCTCAGCATCCTTCTGTAAAACCACATTTATATTGACCCCAGTTTTCTTTTTATCTGTGAGAAGGTTGCGCAGTATTCGCTGCCATATAGGAGAATTGATTTTAAATAATATTTTACCATTCTATTTTTTTGTTTCTAATTAAATTTTCCTGATTCTCAGTACCTTGCTTCGATTTTGGAATGCACCCATTGCTATTCCAATGTGCCTTCAGATTGACATCTTCTAAACATATATAAATTAACGATGTTAATTTATAAATGTTTAACGAATTGATTGTGAATTAAAATGGGGAGCAACAATAAAATCACCTATATTATACCTTAATCTATTGTCCCCCAACTTCTCAAATACGTTCAATCGTATACTCTTTTTATTGAGCTCACGAAAGTACATTGTTTTGATGAACAGCGGATTGCAAACAAGTTCATTATATGTGGAGGGAATAAAAGATTCAGTTCCAAATCTTTCGAAATTTGCCGAATATGATAAAAACGTAAAGAAAACCACGCGTACGCAGCCGGGACGTTGTGATAATAACAATCAATATAAAGACACTAATCCGAATGGATTAATGTATAATGATAACTTCTTATCTTAGAAATTCAGATAGAAACAACTATAATCATCTGAAACTCAATATTTATTAGGGAACCAAATGGTGTGTTAAGAGTTTACGAGTCTCTCTGGTTAAACATTACTACCAAACAGTGCCTTCGATCCAGTTGGTTTTTATTATTTTTTTAAAAGGTGGTAAAGGGATAATGCCAGTGAGACGCCAGAGGTTACTGGGAATGAAGAAGAATGAGAAGACTTTAGTGAGGAGAAAGGACAGAAACAGAACAAGTTTTAAGAAGACGGGAGATGGTGACTGACGTCATTGTTGAATGCGAGGTAAGCAAGAAATTGGAAGGGAGTTCCACAGGCGAGAAGTAAGATAAAATAATTTATTAGAATAGAACTTACGGTTACATCTAGCTGTTTAAACAGTAAAACAATGAGACCTAGTTGCCAATCGAGCAGTTCGCTTAAATTCCCGCTGTCGAGGTCTCAAGGAGGGTATCACATTAGAACAATTGTCATTAAAATATATATAGAAAAGACAGAGCAAAGCTACGTCACTGGGGTGGGAAAGTGACTGAAGTCGAGATTTCAGTTTAGGGTCGATAATTTTACAGAGTCTTTCTTTGGATTTAGCCAAGAATCTCGAGGTATATAACAGGAGCACCAGACCAGATATGGCAGCAATATTCAATGCACAAATAAATGGTAGGTTTATAAATGTGTAAAATCGGTTCTGACAAGAAAAATTGTCTGGCATGACGCAGTGAAATAACTTTCGTAGCAAGAAGACCTAGCAATTGATTCAATATAATCACTTCACTTCAGCTGAAAACCATCGAGTCAATATGCGGGGTCTAATGGATAGCAACTTGTAATGAGTCGATATCAAATTTCAGTCGGACTTGGTGCATTTCCTTACGCACAAATAACCTTGGGAAATGTATGAATCCATACCTTTCCTCTATGGGTTAAATAGTAGAACTTGTATCTGAAAAAATCGTTACCATTTTTTTTTTAAGAAAAAAGGTTAATATAGTATTCATTGGCAAAAAAAAAGAAAGAATTACCGCGACGGAGTGAGCTACCCGTGTTTAATTTCATTGACACTGCTAGTCTGTTGGTTCCCTACCCTAGTCTCCCATTGGAAATTTTTGTAGATATTTTTATGATACTAAATTTACTTATGCAGTGTATAATTTATAAAATTGAGAGATCGCTTACAGGAATTCAGTTTACCGACTGGTATAGGTAACCCTCCTCTAGGGTTAGCAGAGGTCTAAGAAAACCCTAAGCTTCGTTCTCAAGGACGCATGGTAAATATTTCAGGAAAATAATGCATCCTTGAAGCCAGCACATACAGTATTCTTAAAAGTCCAAAATAATGTTTCAGTTTTAAATAACCCTCAAGCCGTAAAAAAACATATCAATCTATTATATTGTCGCAGTGTGCCCAAACACCACTCCCACCTTTTCTTAAACAACCTCGGATATGCCTGCCGGTAGAGAAAGGTTACGACCCTTGTGTGCTAAAAATAGCAACGACATCCTTTCAAACTGACAGAAACACACAAAACTCAATTTTCGCCACTAAACAAAAATAAAAAAGACCTTTAATTTCGAACCGAAATTAATTTAAATCTGATCAACAAACACCGAACACACTTTTGACTGTAATTAATACGGCCCGAAATTAATTATATTCATTTACTTGTTTAGCGTCACCGCTTCTCTTGTATGAACCGTCATCTCTAGATGCCCGAGACTTCGCAGCCATTTTTAGCCGGCCACGGAAGCAGCCCGGTCGTCGGGCTAGGTTGCGACCATGGCAAAGTCTAGTTTGGACCATATCAAGACCTGCTAAGACAAGCTAAGACTAACTTGGACCAGAACTTGACTAAGCCTTGACTAGCTTGGACATGTTATGATCAATCTTTGACCAGTGACCCTATGCGGAAACGCTTGGGTTTTCCCACGAAAAACGACCTTGTGTCACGTCTTGACCCCGTGGGTGTCAAGTAATCCCACGAAAAACGACCTTGTGTCACATCTTGACCTCGTGGGAGTCAAGTAAATACCGCCGGCCACGGAAGCAGCCCGGCCTTCGGGCTGGGTTGAGACCATGGCAAAGTCTAGTTTGGACCTTATCAGGACCTGCTAAGACTAACTTGGACCAGAACTTGACTAAGCTTTGACCAGCTTGGACATGTTATGACCAATCTTTGACCAGTGACCCTATGCGGAAACGCTCGGGTTTCCCACGAAAAACGACCTTGTGTCACATCTTGACCCCGTGGGAGTTAAGTAAATACCGCCGGCCAGGGAGCAGGAAACCTTCCTGATTCGCGACTTTGACGCGCCTACTCAAGTCGACCAAGCCCAGCAGCTGACGGGACCCAGCAGCAGTAGCAGCAGTTGTCCAAACAGTCCTTTTCAGGGCTAACTTCCGAAAGTCATTCGATCACCACTCTTCAAGGCTCCACTCACTCCACTCTTTGCTACTGCCTTCCCTCTGAGACGCCAGCTCACTCCTGCAGCTTCCAGCACTCCTGCAGCCTCCAGCTCACTCCTTCAGCTTCCAGCACTCCTGCAGCTTCCAGCAGTCTCCAGCTCACTCCTACCGCTTCCAGCTCACTCCTGCAGCTTCCAGCACTCCTACCGCTTCCAGTTCCTGCAACTTCTCCTGCAGCTTCCAGCACTCCTGCAGTTTGACATCCCGCTACCTATTCCAGCACCCGCTGACGATCTAATCCAGTGCCCACGGACGTCCAGCGCCCGTTAACGTCCGGACACCGTTCCCGAACAAACGACCTCTGTCGTCTTACTATCCACCGTTCGCAAATAAAGACACGATTTCCATCGTCTACAACGGACCATCTGCGTTTGTCATCCTTCTTTGCTATTGCCATCTCCTTGCCTTTGTGTCCCCTATTTTAGTTGTACGGTCGATTGGCACTCACACCTCTCGGCCCGCTGCAACAATATCCATCGACAGAAAATTTAAACGATTTATTGCATAATTCAGTTTGTTTTAATAATAAACAGGTTCAACGGTTGTTTATTCTATATTTATTTTCCATTCAAGCCAGAGCTGTTGTTTGACAACCAAAAGGATTTCACAGTAAGTGTATATCTTTTATTGTTGAATGAAGCGGGTCGATTTAATCTCATGCATTATGTGTTGTTTGCTATCGTATCATGTTTTACCGGTTCAATCAATCCATTTACAAACAGCTGGCAAATGATATCTAGTTGGATTTATTGATAAATTCTGGTAAACTTTTCTCCGTCTTAGTTGTGATTGTTTTTTTTTATATCGTCGCTTCTTCAAATAAATATATTGTTCTATTACCTGCGTACAGGTCTGGCAAAAGCAAAACACCTCACACATTTACAACAGGTCCACAACAAACTTTATTTCGTATCTTACAACTGACAGTTTTACTGTGTGTGTGTGTGTGTGTGTGTGTGTGTGTGTGTACCCCCACGTGTGTCCAGCTCATTTAATTGTCTCTGTCTTTTTAAGGTTTAATCAAGTCAGGACACACCAGTTGTCTCCCTTGTACTAGCAAATATTGTTTTTAATGATAATTTAATAGTATTAAACGTTAATGCATTAATTATTTTAAAAATTATTTTCGTTTATTTATTCTATCAAGCATTTTTGTTTCATATTTTTCTTTACAATTTTTTATTTTTTGTTTATTCTTCGTTTATTTATTTAGTTAATTTTTGCAATTATCTTTTCTGCATTTTCTCCTTTCTTCCTTCCTTTCGTTATTTTCTTATTTTTTCTTCTTCGTTTGAAACCATTTGTCTTTCGTTCGTACCTCCTTTCTTGAGATTGCTTAAATAACATTGACTATGGTGGATTAGGTAACTTCTTTCTCATTTTCGTCGTTTGAAAACCAGTTTTTTTTCACTCGAAATAATAATCTGTCCTTTGTGATTATTTAAATACAGTTTTACTTGAAAACATTTTAAAATCACTCTTAAAAATACACTCTACTTTGGAATCAATCCACAGTTTGCTAAATACTTATGATTATATCCGCAAGAACTGCACTGATCAACCCTGTTGCGGCGTTAAGCAGGTGCCTGTTAACTCCGCAAGCAGAAAAATAATATAGGGTAATACGATCGAAGCAAGGACAACAAAGACGAGGATGTAAAAGTTTAAGCAAAATTTTATTTAGTAATCTGGCATAAGTGTGTACAGATAATTGCTTGCTGGAGTTCGGTCGTGAAGTTAGAGAGCGTCAGTTGAAGGAGCGTTGTCAGGTTTCAAAGCGACAGCTCGGAGGTAGGCAGATGGAAACAGCGATGTTCGAGATTCAGTCGATCCCCGGATGTCTGCCCTTTTGTAAAGACCGCGTCGGCGCTTGAGAAGAGAGAGGATTGACGCAGACGGCGCTGGTGTAGTCTGTTCGTCCTTGGTATGACAGTCATGCAAGATCGCAGCTTGGTAGTTCTAATAAAAGAACATTCGTAATAACGTGGCTAGATTAGTCCTGAAAAGGACTATCGCAAATCATGTAACCGGGTGTAGTCCCGAAAAGGACTAGTGCATATCATGTAGCCGAGTGTAGTCCCGAAAAGGACTAATGCATATCATGTAGCAGAGTGCAGACGTGCATATCATGTAGCCGGGTGCTGCTGCTGCTACTGAAGTTGGGTCGGACTGCTGCTGCTAGGTTTGGCTGCTTCGTGTGGTCAGCGAAGGTGAGGAGGGGGGTCGTCGCTCTACCCAGAGGCCAAAATCCGCCAAGTGAGAGGTATTTATTTGACTCCAACGGGGTCAGGATGTGACACTTAGCGTAGGAGACCCGAGCGTTTCCACTCTAGGGCCACTGGTCCAAAACTGGTCATAGCATGTCTAAGCTGGTCAGATCTTAGTCAAAGCTGGCCATGGCTTGTCCTAGCAGGTCCAGGCCGGAACCAGTACAAGCTAGTCGTAGTCGTGATCGAAACTCAGCCAAGGTATTTACCCGACTCCGACAGGGTTCGGATGTGACACAAGGTCGGTTTAACGTGGGAGGCCCGAGTGTTTCCACTCAAAAGGCCAAAAGGTCCAAAACTGGTCTTAACATGTCCAAGCTGGTCAGAGCCTAGTCAACGCTGGTCATGGCTTGTCGTAGCTAGTCCAGGCCGAAGCCAGTCCAAGCAAGTCGTAGCCGTGATCGAAACTCAGCCAAGGATATTTACTTGACTCCCACATAGTCAGGATGTGACACAAGGTCGGTTTAACGTCGGAGACCCGAGCGTTTCCACTCAAGGGCCACTGGTCCAAAACCGGTCATAGCATGCCCAATCTGGTCCGAGCTTAGTCAAAGCTGGTCATGGCTTGTCCTAGCAGGTCCAGGCCGAAGCCAGTCCAAGCTAGTCGTAGCCGTGATCGAAACTCAGCCAAAGGCCGAGAAACGATCCAAATTTGTCAAAACTAGGCTGAGATCGGCATCGTAGCCGGTTAGCAATATCTTTGGGGTGATGACTGAAAATTACCTTCTGCCTTTTGACTGTACACATGGGTTTCAATCGGACACCATGTGTATATAAAGTAGTTTCTGGTAATTGTTTTTAGTTAGGAAGGCTCGTTTATGTTAACGTTGCGTTTGTTTTGAGTTTTTTGAGTCGTTCTCTGAAAAGTCAACGGAAGTTAACGGCATTCATTCTGTTTTCTGCGGTGACGCTTTAATACGTTTGAGTAGACAGCAGTAACTTCCGGCCGGGTACGATAACCCTACATTGTGTTCATATTTATTTAACTGCTAATCATGTACAAAATTTCCGCAGCCCCAAACGAAATCGTAATAGGACTTTCATATGTGTAATATGTCGAAGTTGGTGCAGAGATCGAAAAGTTACACAAGACGACATAAGAGAAAACATGAGATTAAATGAAAAAAATACTCAGAGAATAAATGTTTAATAATGTCTGTATGAAAAAAAAACATTTCCGCTGGAAGTGACTATGTTTATAAAAAAAACAAACATTTAGCTGAGACAGTTGCATGTTTGCCACCAGAGCTTAGTGTACAAACATGATTTTGAATGGCAATGTTCAAAACAGAACCACTTTCCTTACGGGAAGAAATGGCGCAACACAGTCTTTCTTTTTATTTTCACAATTTAAGTTTATTAGAATAAGTTGGCCAAGCATTAGGCTGAGATTGTTGTATGATCGTAGCAGAGATGGGTGTTCGAGAACATATCTATGTCTATATTTGATTGCATATATGTACCTACATATGTAGACTTAAATGTTTAAATATATACACGCGAAGGCATTTCAATAAACAGGTTGCCTAATGATGGATTTCTTTTTAGCAATATATATATATATATATATATATATATATATATATATATATATAGCACCAACTAAATATACTACAGTTTTTGCCATTACTGTTTTTTCGTGTACAAAATTGCAACCAATGAAATAATTTAAGGAGACAGCGAAAACTAGAAAAACTATTTTTTTATTCAAATATCCTGAACCACTGTCTCATGAAGATGTCTGTTGATAAGGATGATTTTTTTTTATTTGTTTGTGTCTATGTAGTTGAGAAATAAAACTTTAGTCATTAAAGGCCTCTAAAAATTATGTTATTTTCATACGTTTTTCAAGATAATATTAGTTTAAAATTAGTAATTCTATGTCATAATCATTATCGATACAAAAAATATTTATCACATGCAAAAACGAAACACATATTACTTGGGTTATAAGTAATTAATAGCTGCACTTTCCAAAATTACTGTTCAAGAGATAATTTTTTTAATTTTATCATAAAATTGACTATAGATCATATATATATGAACATATGCTCAAAGGATTGGGAAAAATAAGATGAGATATGAAAAATTAAAACGAAAAAAAAAATCATCGGTTTCATGCACATGAGGGATTGACTGGTCTTTATCGATTCGATTGGTGGTATTGCATCGCCGTTGAGTGATCCGTCTGGTTGATTCCAATGATGAATGAGACTTCAGCTTGCTGACTCGTACGTTGACGTATGTGGTTCTTCAAAGGCGTGTACGATATTTATTACGCCCGGATCCCGATCGGTTTTCTCACGCATTTCTTAGAGCAGCTGTGATACAAAATCGTACGAAGCAGGGAACTGATCTGTGATCTTCTTATACAGGAGAATCACAGAAACGGAAATTGATCTGTGAATCGCGCTATACAGGAGTTTTCATCAAGTATTTCCTCCTGGCTCAAGAGAGCCGAGAAATCCTACAGCTACCTCTCATAATAAGAGCTTAGCCTCTAATCAACTCCATGAACAAAGAAAATACCTGCTAGGCGCATATTTACACCTCCCTGCGCTTTGTAAACACCAAATGTCGCCACTACCAAATGAATGGTTTGTTGAAAGCCTCAGAAATGCCTGACGACGTTGTTAGTCGTTCGTGTCGTCTTCGGCTTGGCGGGAGGTACCTGGAGAAAATGACTGAATCCAAATAGTTTAGAGGAAGTAAATGCCATGGCCAGAAAATTAATTAAAAACTAAGTTCTTTAATTTCTTGTTGATGTGATCTTATCGAAAGATTAATGAAATATCTGGAAAGACACGGGAATCACTGGGTAACTTGACATATGATCAAAGTGACCAAATCTGTTTAAAATGCACGGACTTTTGGTTCGTACTTCATACAACATGAGAAAATATTTATAACAGACCTTAAAAATATATACAGAAAAAAACTGATGGCGTTTTGAAAATATTTATTTTTGTAGTTAAAAAAAAGTCAGTGGCGGAATATTCTTCAATTTCTCTTTTTAAGAAAATATAATCGATTGAGAAAATCATTTCGTTGCATCAAATATCGTGTGGCATTTCAGGTATCTTGTCAAGCGTTTCTGAAAAGATGCGAAAAGAAAAAAAAAATAGTAGATATCCAATGCTGTAAACAGATAAAATCTTATTTTGAAATCTTTATTTTACTTCAAAATATTAAAAAGTTTCAAACAACTGAAGACATCTCCTTTATTCCTCTGACTCCTTGGTCAAGCAGCAAATGATGAGTGAGATTCATGATAAATCCTCATGAATGCCATGTTTATTTTAATGAGTTATTTCGCTCGATATGATGCCACACACATATCTCTGACTCGAGAAGTTCATCAAAAGTTTTTAGAATTATTTCTCTATTTGGTTATGATTAAGTAAAAATTTAACAATATTTATTTCTTTAAGTAACTCTGGAATATATGTATGTTTAGTATCAAATATTAGGTTTAGACAAAGGTAATGTGACTGATTTTAAGATTTAATTCTTTAATCATATCCTGCTTAAAGCAAAGAAAAGAAGAGACACTCGCTATTTATTTATAGGAATGTAAATATAAATAACAAGCAATAAATAAATAGAATCAAATGGAATAAAGGGTTAGACGAGATAATGTATTTGATATCGAATATAAAGGACGCACAGCATAAAGAACAAGTGGTTATTGAGGAAGTCGGAAGTTCTCTTGTCAAGATTTTAATTCGTTGTTGTTGTTATTGTTCTTCTTCTCAGCATTATTATTATTATTATTATTATTATTATTATTATTATTATTATTATTATTATTATTTCTCCTAGTTGGAAACTTCCCCTCCTCTTCAATATTTACACAAATTATCAACCATCCACTTAAATACTGGAAGTTTCCTCTATGCAAATGATTTCTGCGTTGCACCCCAGAAACAATCTTTCACCACTGCTCTGAGAGGCCTTATCCCATACTATGCTGTCAACCACCTTCGAGCCAACGCCGAGAAGAGCCAAATTAGTTCTTTCACCTATGGAACAGGGAAAATGACTGCCAGCTCAATATCAACTGTAATGGAAGACAGAGTACACTTTCAAGCCTGTCTAATCTGGGGTCACTCTGGACCAGTTCCTTGCATACAAAGACCACATTGCAAAAACTAAAGCCAAAGTCGGATCAAGAAACAATATCCTAAAGAAGCTGAATAACAACAAAAGGGATGCCCATACCGATACAATCCGCTACTCCACAGCAGAATGTCTCACCAGTATGCAGTTGATCATCACACACAAAGAAAATTGACCCTGTCTTAAACGCATCTTACTGATCAGCCACTCGGTGTCTCAAACCAACCAAAAGTGTATGATCGCTACTTGTTTAGTGGCATCGGTCTCTCTTACTTCATTAGGACAACCCACCAGAGACGGTGAAGCAGGAAAATGACCGTATGAGCCAATGAAAAGAGGCTCAAGTTAAGACACATTTTTCTACATTTAGTCGAACCATTGAATAACAGAGCTCCTAGCCAGAATCTGTCTTGTGGTAAAGTTACTTAAACTCTCTCTCAGCTCTAAAGAATCCCTCCTCACTGGCTCAAGTGATGCCTGACCCTTCTGGTCTTGACTGAATTACCTACGAACAGCTGTTGGTCGCCGTACAGCCAACATTCCGAGATGAGGATATGCTAGCGATGATGATACTAACTGACAATGGGCCTAATTACAAACTATAGAGCATCTTCTAGTTTGCCCCAATCTTGAAAATTCATGCCTATTTAACGACCTTGAAACGTTAGCACCCCAGGCAAGTCTCTGAGTGCAACATCGGATGATGGTGTAGTGAATCAATCAGAAGAAAAATAAGATTATTTTTTTCCTTTTATTTCTTTTGCATACTCATATTTCCTTCCAGGTCATAATCAGAGACCTACGACCAGAAATGGTATCATGGCGTTTTTCGCTGAACATTAAAAAGAAATAAAATAAAACAACCTAAGGTCCCACATATTTTACATAAAGCACTTCGTATGGCGCGAACAATTTTTTGTAATTTTTTAAGGCATGGCCTACCACAGATCCTTTCAAAGAGTATATCAAAATCCTTTCATATCAAACAAAGGGTTCCATCCACAAGAATTAGTGGTGTCTTCTACTTCTGTTTCAAAGATCATGGAGGAGTGTGCCTATCGTCCAGTTCACACCCGTCTCTGATCTTTTGAACAGGAGTATAGGTTTATCCCTTGTTTCCTGTTTATGAATGTGTTTCCGGTTTCTTCTAAAGTATTTTTCATTCTCTTTCACTCTCAGTTGCCCCTTGTACTTTAGTGGCATTACCAACTTGCTTGGGGTGAACTGATTAAAACATGTGCCTCATATGTGATATTTCCACTTGTATTTCCTTGCATTTTGATAGTTTTAGATCTTCAAAGATACATTGCTGTCTGCAGGAAATTTCATGCCAATAAGAAAGCGCATTCTGTTGTTATTGTTGTTCTTATTTCATGTTCGCAGTAATACTATGAATGCATTGAGGTTCCAGTGACTGCAAAGACTGTCACAAAGTCACTTTATCTCAAATACAGGAAAATGTGTTGTGCTTCCCAATGTGAATGTGTATCCTCTGCATTTAACTTTTTCCAAGTATAAGACAATATGTAAGCAAACCCTTAATTGAAAACTTAGCAACAATCTTATTGCAAAAATTGTAATTACAGTATGAGATGTAATTCGTGATGAAAATGTGAAATTATTTTATGCAATAAAAATATAAATTCAAAAAAAAAAAAAAAAAAACGAGCATATACTCAATTAATGCAGTTCCAAGTTATATTAATATTCGTACATTGTTCAACAAAATGTCGACCAAAAGATTATTTAAAAGAAAAGGCCATCATACATTTTGAAAATTATCCAAGCCAATCTCCTGACTGATATACTGCAGAAAATTGCACAAAAGAGGAAAATGAAAAAGAAATCTTCAGAGACAACGGATCAGATTTAGATAATGAAAACCGAGTGGATAATTCCTTTCAATTTTTATTCCTCACCACCAAAATTAATTTTCGCTATTGTAAATTATAAATCAGCTGATACGAAGCAAGAGATAATTATAATGTGCCTTATTTTTAAAAACTTGCCTAAATTTTTCTTTTTATTTATATTTATAATTATGATGTGCCTAATACACTTGTTTGCTAATGTCTTTTGCAGTTCTTGTTAAAATCTCTATGATTATATGTTTAATATATAGGGGAAAACTTAGATTATTAAGTTCTTTGGGTAGTCGTTTATCTCTCTATAAATTCTGGATTAAAACTAGATCACAATTTTTAAGCTATATAATTTTTAATGCACTCAATATTTGCTCACGACTGTACACCATTTACTCCCATATTTGTTGTTTCGATCACTTTGTTTCTGTCCATAAATCGTTTATATTTTATTATACTGTCTAAAACTGATGAATTATATAATATGTATCTCATCTTTCTTTTTTTGTTTATTTTTGTTCAATACAGAGGTTCGACTGATGAGTTTTCAGCCCTCCTTTTCAAGAGTATTACCTTTGGATCTGTGAATTGTTCGAACTGAGTTGGTAACGGAGGTTGGAAAAGAAGTGGGATAGTTTACCTGATGTGACATTTGACAAACTAAGGAAAAATGCGTAGGCTTAAAAGCAACAAATGTGAGGATACCAGTTACGTGGAATAAAGTAAAAAAATCTCTTTAAATGGTTTAAATGGTTGTACCTTTAAAAATATTGTGTTTCAAGCTGGAACAATGCACGTCATATTTTGCGATTGCAATGTTCTTACTATGTTTAGATATCAAATGAAATTTTAAATGAATTCAAAGCCGATCGATCATGTCCGCAAAGTTTTTTATATATATGTTACGTGCCAAAACCACAATCGAATATAAACTATTAGAACATGCTTACCGTGATAGTTCCATAATTCGTCTCCTGTGAGGGCATACGATATTCTGGTGTCTTTGGTCATGGTGCATCTTTTCTTATAACTAGAATATTCCATTGCCTTGCATTTTTTATCATTGCACAACTTTTGACATTCTAACCACGAATCAATTCTTTGGATAGATTCCAGATGGTTGCAAGAAAGCATGGCAGCACCCCGGATGAAAATGTTCTTGGAATCTTCAAAATAAGATGAAGGATTTTGGTTTTTGCATTTAAGATAATAATGTTAATAAAAAAAGAGAAGAGAAAGCAATGCAAAGTTGTGTTTTATCATCTGATATTACTGCTATTACATTGGGATATCAAAAGATACAGTGAAAGTTTTTGTTAGTTTCGGCGAATTTCAGATAAAAAGTCATTTCTCGTCTTAATTAAAAACCTCTTGTTTGTTCTTTCCCTTTAAAAAACAAACTCTGTTTCTTAAAAATTTAACGATATATATATATATATATATATATATATATATATATATATATATATATATATATATTTCTCATGTTGTCTGTCTGTGTGTCTGTCGTAGGCGTTGTTATCTCGCCCAGGCCGCATTTCTCACCCGATTTCAATGCGGTTTTTAACACAAGTTTGCAAATGGCTGTCGTAAGGACATGACGGAGCCCGATTTTTGAGTTCGGAATCAGGTTCCGAAAAAATCGATAATCGAAAAAATCGATAATCGAAAAAATCGATAATCGAAAAAATCGATAATCGAAAAAATTCTGCTTACAGAAGGAATGATCGCATTTC